GGGGCACTCCGCCCGAGCCTCGCGTGCGTGGCAGGAAGAGGAGACAGGAGGGCGTGCAGGGGTGATCAGCGAGGGGCACTCCGCCCGAGCCTCGCATGCGTGGCAGGAAGAGGAGACACCAACGCCGAATCCGAGGGGCAACGCGTTCCACGCTCAGGCCTCTGACGCACATGAAGCGCCACGTGTGAATCCTGAGGCGTGAGCGCGCAAGCGCCTACAGCTCCAGAGTCCGGGCGGCAGGCCGGGTCCCACGGGAAGAGGCAGCGTGGTTTAGCTGACAGCGGCCATCCGCATCTACAAGGCTGCCTGGTCCCTCTGTCTCCACTTAGACTCTGGTCCCAAAAACACTAAGTAATTCCTGACTACCCACGCATCCCCCAAACACACCTCCTAACGGCTCACCGCTGTCCCTTGTCCTGGGCAGAAGGTAGTCTTAAATCCTACTACTGGCTCAGGGCCTCGAGGCACCTCAGCTTCAGGGTCTTCCCCGAAGTTCAGAGCATCTCACTGACTGTCTGCACTGCCTCCAGAACCCGACTCCTGGCCAGTGGTCAGAGCAGCTGCCAGAGTGGCTAAGGGGCAAAACCTCAGAGTCTGCCTGCCACCCGCCCTCATCCCGCAGTGAGCTCTAAGACACCAATGAGAAGCCGGCAGTGGACACTGGTGTGCCCTTGTGGTCAGGCTCAGCGCCCACCATGCCCATGGGCTCAGGGTGCCCTGGCTCTCCATCTCTGCCCAAGTCTGGCCCCACCTGCTCCCACACCTTGGGGCCATACATCTCCATGGAAGGGACAGCTCCCTGCCTTGTGCCCCACTGGCCCTCACACACTTGGCCGTGCGTGAAAGCTGTCACTGCACGTCCTCTGTGAGCTGAACCATGATGCACCCTCACAGCGCACGCACGCACGCACAGAACTGGGAGCTTCATCTCCTCAGACAGTACAAAGCAAAAACATCTCTGACACCTGGATGGCTCTGAAGGTGCCATATCGGTCAGCTACTTAAATTATCTGATGAAATTCCTGCTAGACTCGTAGTTACTTTTTCACTAAGGGAATGTTTATAAACAAACAAACAAAAAAAACCAAATTATTACCCTGGGCGTCGACGCACAGGGTTACCCGCCACCTTGGGTGTAGGGACAACTCACAGGTAAGGCTCCAGGCGCCACAGGGGAGGCAAGACGCTTGTTGATGGACTGGAAGGTGGCAGCGGGGACGCCCGCGATGGTATTCACAATCACGTTCCCGCTCACAGTGCCTGCAGGGAAGACGCGCGTGAGACAACACGGCCGGAAAACTGAGCTCAATTTGAGCATTTGGTTCTCTTCTTACCAGTGGGTATGCTCGTCCCAGTGACTGATGTTTTGATTGTTCCGGCCTGTTTTAGAAAGAGACTTCATTTAAATTTCTGCATCCAGCTCTCGCCTGTCACCAGTCAAATCGCTCTCCTGCCAAGCGCCCTCTGTGCTCCCCCCGTCTGACAGCTCATGCCCACATGCACAGCATCACACAGCAAGGTGAGTTGGGATGCCTGGGCCCCAGGCTGCCTTTTCCCTTTCACACCTTCACGTATGTCACCACCGTGCTCTAACGGGCACAGGTCAGCTTTAAGGTTTCTGTGTGTGCGTGAGCACAGGAGTGCGTGTTCTGAGGAGAAGGGACCAGGACAGTCTGCATGCTGTCACCGGTACTGTCTGCTCTGCACGTCTGCAGGGAGAGACACTGCTGTGCTGGTCACAGCTGCGAAACCTCTCTGATCCCAAACTTCTCCACCGTTCCACTAAGAGCTGTCTTGGCCTCCCTGGGTGTCTGCTGAGATAGCTGCACCCTAGAGCCGTGGGGGCTGAGAGAGCTGCGCCCCAGAGCCGTGGGGGCTGAGACAGCTGCGCCCCAGAGCCGTGGGGGCTGAGA